GGGCCAGACAAGAAAGAGAGCACCACGAGATGCCGTGAATTTAAGCAATTTTTACTCCATCTTAACTTCTATAATGACAACGTTTCGGAGTGCCTCCATCCAGAATGTTATTTGGACTTCCTCGTGAGAGTAAATTTGCGAAGTACTGGAATCGAGTAAAGCCATAAGGAAAGGGTGGCCCGGGCTTCCCCCCTATCGCAGGTAAGTCGGAGCATGCGCAGTTCCAGCCTTGGCAAGCCTCTCCCTGGCCTAACCTGCTCCATTCATTCACTGAGAACGGGATGGGGGGGTTCAGGGGGGAAAGGCAGTCTCGCAGCGAAGTGAACGGAATGAGACAGGCCAGAGAGAAGAGGCCTGAGTGCTACGTTGTCAAATCTATGCAGCATTGCCAGTTATTCTTCCGCGCCCTACTCCCACTCTGATGTAATTAGAATTCTGCAAAGCTAGTTTTTCAGTCTCGTTCACCTGTTTTATCAGCACCACGGCCAATGAAGTCCTATGAGGCCCTAAAAAACCTTATATAAGCTGGGGGGAAAGGGGGTTGGGAGCCAGGACAGCCCCCTTCCCTGGCCTACCCTATAGCATGTACCACAAGCCGCCACTACGGACATCCCTGAATTAACAGAATGCCGAGTCATGGATTACGAGGCATTCCCTCCTCAGAGCCCACGAGAAACAGGTTTCGCATTGGTCCACATTTCACGTCCTCTGTGAAATTATGAATAGGCTTGCGATTGGCCTAACGTTATACGGTTCTCGACCACGGATTCCCCCTTAGAAGCCTTATTGGCCTCGTTAGTCGAGAATTGAGTTTCTTTTGAAAAAAAAAGGCCTTGGCGTGACCAGAAGGTAGTCTGTCGGTTAGGTATCGGCCTGCCGTTAGTGAGTCCCGTAGAGAAGAGGGGGGGGGGGGGGGGGGGGGGGGGGGGGGGGGGTTNGGGGGGGGGGGGGGGGGGGGGGGGGGGGGGGGGGGGGGGGTGAGCGGTTGAAGTATTGGAAAGCCATTGAAAATTGGTTTTCACATAGAGATGCTAATGAACGATGTTCATTAGCCTCTCTACTCTCCTTCTGCCGGCCTCCGTACATTTCCGCGGTAGTTCCACCGCGGTACCTCTTTCGTAGGCTTCAACTAAGCAGTCTCTCCCGAGCGCATCTAGTTTCTGCACAATGGGCGGGATGGAGAGGTCCACCTAGAGACCTAGACTGATGATGAGCGACCCGAGCGTCCTAGTGTTTGGCCCGCGGGGCTTTGCCAGCTGAATTTTTGATTTCCTGTCGTCTGCCATCCGGAGGAGAGCGCACGTGCGCTCGAGGATTCCGTTCATCCTTCGAGAAACGGAAGCAAGAAACAATATAGTGAATATAAAAGTTATATTTCCGCCACGGCTGCAAGTATCCCTTCGCTCTCTTCTTGGCCGCTTGCTACTCTCGTAGCAAGCGGCTTGCTTGGTATTTTGCTAAGTAAAAATGTGAGAAAAAATTATAACTTAGCTATTTGCATATCATTAGCATCTACCTGGTTCACTAAGCCAGGCTTAGGATTACTGTATGTTGGTACTCAGCATGCATAAAGCCTGTAATGTAAAAAATATATACATACGGACCACCGGGAACCTAAAAGGTTCACTTGCGGCCCGCAGTCAAAAAAAGGTTGCTCATCACTAACCTCGACAGTCCGCCTCAACGCTGTCAGCGGGAATCCCGTCGGAGATCGTTGTGAGGCTTTGCGGCTGATGGGGAATCGTCCCCGTCAACCGTTGGACTTGGCGTGTAATTCATTTCCTCTGTTCGTGTGATTTTGGCTTGGTACCTGAGATCGTTTTGCTGTGTCACTGAGGGCCGAATTGCCCCGATGCCCGTACAGTACAGAAAAAATTCAGAGTAAATATTCTCATCCGGAAGAGGTATATATGACGTGGATTATGAGAAATGTGGACTTTTTAACGTTCTCTGTCATTAAATTAAATGGTACAGGAAAACTTTTCAAGAAAAAAAAAGGTCATAATCAGGATAGCGATCTTAAGGCAAGCATCCCGGCCCCATGGGGAATGAAGGCGATGTGCAGATAGTAACAAAACCATGTGGAAGGAGGGGAAGGATGATAAATATCTTGGGACAAGGGGGAGAGACAAAGTCGACTGGAATAGCTGGAGGCGTCTCGAGGTGCGGCCTCGTGCCCCGATCCGGCCACGGTAGCTACAACATTCGAACGAAACCTGTCTTACGACCCTTCATCATCGTATCATCGATCGTGCAGGAAAAGTTTTTGGGTAAATTACTTTCATCCCGAAAACGGGAAAACGACGCGAGATCGCCCTTTCAAGATCGGTAAAAAGTGCGTTCTGCGCTCTCAGAAAGATGAAACTAATCAGGGCTCGAGGGAATTTATCGATCATACCAAGGAGATTAAATATCTGCGTGCATTCTGTCCACATTGGTAGTGAAGGATAATTTGCAGACAAAAACGAAAGGGGGGGGGGGGGGGCTGATTTCGGGCAGAATGGGAAAGGCAAGGTCGACCGGAAAAGTTGGAGGCGACATTTCCAGGATCAGGATATAAGAAGGGGTTGAAATCCATCTCTTTATCGGCCAAGCCTTCGTTTCCCGAGTCATCATTCATTCTGGATCAAACATTTCTGGTAAGTCGTCTCTGTTCCATTCAATGTCGCTAGCATTTCTCATATTTCCCGGGTGGGGAAAAAAAATTAACGTGACTGATGATTAATCGTCAGGCTTGAAGCTTGACAACCACAAGCCAGAGAGGAAAGAGAAAGACTTAAGTCAGCGCCATCTCTCGCAAGGAACGAGAACTAAGGCCCCCGAGTCAGCGCCATCTCTCGCAAGGAACGAGAACTAAGGCCCCGAGTCATCGCCATCTCTTGCATGGAACGAGAACTAAGGCCCCGAGTCAGCGCCATCTCTTGCATGGAACGAGAACTAAGACCCCGAGTCAGCGCCATCTCTTGCAAGGAACGAGAACTAAGGCCCCGAGTCAGCGCCATCTCTTGCAAGGAACGAGAACTACGATCAACAGGTAAAAGTGAATGCACACTCCAGAGGAAAAGAATTGGGTCCTTGTCGTGTTTTCATGAGAAATTTGAATAGTCAGTCGAGTCTGTGGTCTCTACGAAGAAATCAATCCGAGGATTTATGGCTGATGTGCGAATGATTGGGGGCTTGCTGCAGGATGAATCCATCTGTGCCACCTTATCATCATGCCGATTCCTTCGCTCTTTCAAGATGTAATCCTCGGCAAGGAACAACGTGTCCAGCTCTTCTCGCACGTCCAAAAGTTGACCCTAATTACAGAACATGTGTTTGTCACTCGACACGGAACTCATTCTCGGATTCTCTCGGACTCTCATTCAAACACCCTCATCCCTGCTGAACGCTCGATGAAGCTTTCATCAAACCTTTCGCCCTGCCTTTTTTTTTTTTTTTTTACTTTCAACCACTATTGACTGAATCGTCTGTGGGTTTTCTGCCTCGATTTGCTCCACTGCGTATGGCGTTGATTCGTGGCAGACCGGCGCACTCGTGTCCCTCACGGAGTAATCAAAGGCTAAAAACCAGAGTCCCTTCCTTTTCTCGCTTTCTCTGTGGTCACGGGAAGCGCGAAAGACTTTAATTACCGATATTCGAACGGATCGTCCCCTCTAACCGCTACTCTGCTGCTTCCCGCGCTCGGGCTTGACAGAGAAAATAGAACCTACCGCGACCTCGTTTGTGGCGTCGAAGAACCTCGTCGCACTGACCTCCAACCACCGCTCTCACCGCTCCCCGCCTCGAGACTGGCTCCGCGCGTCTCCCGTTCCTTGCTTTCCCTCAGGCCCGACGGGACGGCATCGGGGAAAGCGGATGGGAGAAGCCCCTTGGAGGAAAACTCGCTGGTCTCGCACCAGCCGGCTGACAGAAGCTAGACCATGAGGGGATTCGGCCCCGTTCAAATTCGGCCGAACCGAGTACGTCCCGAAAAGGTATCGTATTTACTTTTTCTTTAACGGTAAAATGCAAGAGATTCCCGATCTGATGCAAGTGGAACGTTGCTCAGGTGCGGATCGGGACCAAACTTTTCCATCGAGAAAAAAATATCGACCCGATTTTCCAAGAGAATTGGATATCAAGGAGATGCCATTTAAAAAGACGTGAATGATCCTTTTAAATTTGAATTCATTGCTATCCCGACTCATCTCCCAATCCATCACCGAATGCACACGAAGCTCGAACTTCCCTGGAAGCATCTTCGCCGTGCTTCAAAGGGAGTCTCGGCCTGGTGCGAAATGAACATTTTTACACCAGTTGGACCCGCAAACTTACGAGGCGGCTGGCCGTCGAAGAACGACACCCCTCCGACTACTTATCGACGCCTCTTTGTGTCCCTTTCGTTTCTTGCATTGCGATCCCGGGAAAATGCATCATGCAAGGGTCACCGCATCCGTCACGGAAACTTCGAGTGCCTCATCCTTCTCATTCGAAGATGAAGGGATTATCTCTTACGCCTTCTTCCTACTTCGAAGTAATTAAACAACCATTATGGGAGCAATGCGTTACAATTCCATCGCCAAAATCGTGCACTGGAGAGTCAGCTAAAATAGCACTCATATTTCACACTCGAGTATCTGTCGATACGTAATCGGTAATGCATGGCACAAAATCCATCACGTATTCATTCCTCCTCGATAAATTAGCGACATTATCCCCCTCGCAAAACGAGCCTCGAAGGTAAACTCGTGGGGAAAATCCCCTTCAAGAAATTAACTGGAGGGACGTCAAACAGTCCACTCATCGCTGGGCATGACAAGTACTTTCTAAATCAACCTTTGTTTCAGCTCAGTGTCGCCTCAAAAAGCGAGATTACGAATCCAGACCGCCACAGTGACTAAGAGCAAAACACATATTTCTTGATAAAATGCAAAATTTTTTAGTGGAAAACATGAAAAAAGTTCTCATGACTTCAGATTGGCTTATTATATTTCCAGATTCACTTTGCACCAGATTTACCCCAAGGAACTTACAATGGGAATTCTCATACAAAGACAATTAAAAAAATATAGCAAGTCAATTCGAATTCACAGCAAGAGGGTGACAGAGGGTGGTTCAAGATATAGCAGTTTGGTCTCACTGGAAATGACACAGAAACTTCTTTCCAATGCTTAGAAAAAGTGGAAGGAATTTACTTTCCCCTCATTGCCAAATGCATGATCTCAGATCCACTTGACAATCATAACACTTCACTAGGTCCATTTAAGAAATTGTCACTGCCTTTTTTTTTTCCCACATTTGGCAATGATCAATGGAGAGGTGTACTAGACATGATTCCATCTGGTTCCATCTGGCTCATTTTCAGACAAGGAGCATAGTCAAAGCGCAACAGATCATCAAACTTCTGAATTCGCTTCTCCATCACCTTCTTCCTTTTCTCTATCACCAGGATTCTCCTTCTCATCTCCCTCTCCTCCAATTCTTCCCCTCCCTGCACAATCAACACAATCGGTTTTCATATTACTATCATGTTTCTCTCTAGAACAGAAGATTCAATCGTTTGCCCACTGACCTCAACAGAGCGGGAGGATGGAAGTGCATAGAGGGAACCGATGTTCTTTACCAGGTATTGGCTGGAGGATAACAGTCCCTTCATGTCCCTGACAAATGGAAGACAAAATGAAGCATAGATCATGATTACATGGCAAGCTCTACTCACTACAATGCTAAACATTCCAAGTTGAGACATTTTGTGTTTTATTCTCTTCTGCAGATCCTGTGATGTTTTGGGTCAAGAGAAATTCTTTGAAGACTTCAGATGAGGAAGCAATGAGTTTGGAATTGAACAATGATTGCCATGCACATTACCATAATTGAGAGTCCAATTCTAAAGCATGAAGAAGCCTAGCTGCTAATGCTCTGAGTCAAGACCATTCATAGTTGTGTGCACAAGTACCCATGATATATTCCTGTAATATGAGCATCATAAAAGGCATATGTCCAGAGAGACAGACAGGAAATAGATCCTTACGGGAGACGTTCAGACGGAAGGGAAATGGTTTCTCGACTAGTGATGAGGGGCTCACAGAGCACTGGCTTTATCCTCTCCAAATGCCTTCCCTCCCACTCATATAATTCCTCCAAGTCCTTCCGGCACTTTTCCCATTCTCCTAAAGAAAACCAACACAAATAATGTAAACTCTCACAATGCCATAACAGTGAGAGAAAAGACAACAGGATGAATGACTGTCTTTAGTACCAAGCTGAGTGGGGTGGGTCAATTCAGGGAGGAGGGAGTGAAGTTGGTCTCGCTCTTTACTCAATTCCTTCTCATAATCTTCTTCCAGTTGCTGTGTGTGAAGCTTCTCCAGTTCCTCAATAAAAGCTAATTCTCCCATCTTTCACACACACTCAAGCACAGGCTGTGCATAAATAAAATAAAGCCTTTCATTTTGGAATACAGGCATTCAACTCTCTCAAGTTCTCATGCTATAACAACACTGGGTGTATTCAGTTGTGACTCGATCTAACTGGGCGAGTCATGACTCAGGGCATGGCCTGCTCTGACATCTGACACGACCACCTGAACGTTGGGTCATTTAACCAGTAGTGCGATGCAGAAGTTTTTAAGTAAAGTTTTACTGCTTTAATGAGTAGTAGCAACAGCAGAGGTTGGAGAAATTGGAAAATTGTGAAGTGATACAAAGTGCTATTCAAGATCAAATTACCACTCCAGGATATTCATAATGCCAGAGTTTGGACACACCCTACTGCCTTTTACATCATGGTGCCACTCAAGATCATAAGGTCATATCTACCAGCAAGAAAAAATGTTTAAAAATGTTCGCCACTGGAAGCCTTCAATGGAAGACAGCATGTTTGGCTTGATGACGTGACAGGAATGACTCGGTCATAGCATGTAACTTGGGTCAGCTTTCTGCGTCATCACCTGATGCATTCAGTTTTTTGTGCCATGACTTGCATTGTCCCAGGTCACAAATGAATCATAGATGTAATATGGAGAGCCACATATGGAGGAAGAACCTCCAAGACAACAGGTAGACCCTGTCATCCTGGCATGATGTGTCACACAAGTGTAGCAAGTCTGATAACCAGGGACTGCAACTTAAAAATTTCTCATTTCGTGTGACAACAAGAAAAGCAAAAACACAGAAGATAAAAGGGAGAGAGAGGAGAGAACAAAAACGTCTCATGTATATCAAGAAAGAACTCAAACACTGATGGTCTTGAAGATGTGGAATCCTGAATGAGCAGTAGAGATGATGAGACCAGGTATCTGACGATGCCAATGGAGTTCTTTGATATCTTCCTGACCTTGATGGATGAACAGCAATTGAGCTGGCACTTCCTATCATGATTCAAGGCACATTATGAAAACAGAAATAGAAGATCAATCTAAGGAGGAAGATCATGACTTACTGGTATATCATTGGGATCATCACCTCTTTCCACAGCCAGGTCCCAGATTGCAATCTGGTTATCACCACCTCCAGATGCAAATATTGAGGAATCTGTGGGATGCCATTCCACAGTTGTCACTGGCTGTGTGTGGTGCTTGAATTTTGCCACTGGCTCTGGAGTTTCGCTCACCTAATGATAAATTAAATCAGACTATGACAAAAGGATACTAAATCACCAAAATCATAAAGAAAGCATGTGATACACATGGTCATGTTTTAAAATGAAAAAAAAAAAAACAAAAAATAAGGAATACATATTTAAAAAAAAAGAAGCTGAGAGGTGCAGATGAAGAGAGGGATAGCATATATGCATGACCTGTGGAAATTTGACTGAGGAAAACATCAGATATATTAATTTCCTTAACCCTCCCAAGCAGCAAACATTGCATTTGCAACATTAATATAGGCCTGATGACTGACATAACCAGAATGCAAAGAGTCAATGGTTCATATGTTGAATTGGCTCACTATTGGTCCAGAAATCCTATGTCTAGTGCAAATCTCTCTCATTATCCTTCATCAATCCTTCATCTTGCATATTCATAATATCTTAATATGCAAGGTTTTGGCATATTTCATGTTTTACTTGGTTTGCATGAAATGTTCAGTTTGTACAGCATGATCAAACACTGTCTCAATCAGTTTAAAAATGATAAATTTAGGAGAAGGGAAAAAAAAGAGATGAAAATTGCTGAGCAAGCTTCCAATCCAAGCCTTGACAAGTCAGTTATTTTATGCAGAATGTAGGAAAACAGCAGGGGGCATCGATTGAACAGACTTTTTTCAAAAGTAAGAATGTATATTTTTTCTTAGGCTTTTCATATAACAGAGAACTTCAGATGTCTGAGGTTTTACTGTACTTATGAATGATGGCTTGCATTCCACTGAGGAAGAACCACAGTCAGTCTGACAAAGGGATTTTTAGTGTCATGAATACCAGGGATGGATGTCACAAATGGAGTATACAAATAAGGAGAGCAAATATTAACACTTTTTACTCCTCAAAGGAGGAGTCACTTGTCTCTGTCATTTGCTAATTTCAAAATGGCAACACCAAAGTGAGCCTTCTAAAAAGTATATGCAGCACTTCAATTAGGAAAATTAATGGAGACATAACCATAATTTTGATGACTCTTTCCAACAAATGTGCACTGAATTCTAGAAATTTCATATTTCAATGCATTATTGTATGGTGCTCTATGCTAGCTAAGCAGTGGTGTATTTTGGCTGAAGAGTTAGAGGGGATAGGGCAGCAGAATGGAGGCACCAAACCCCCAAGTGATAGCAGGGGAGAAAATTATTACCTCCAAGGGGGCACTAGGGGTGGGGGTGGGGTTGGGCAGTCACCCCCTGCCCCCATAAAATAGGCCACTGAAGCTAAAGATCTTTTGGGGAAGAAAAACCATCCCAGAATGATGGTTAATTAATGGCACCTTCCTTTCTAATGCTGAAGAAAGACCTGATATTGCAACTTTGTGCTATCCTCACTTCATCTTCTCACTTTATTGTTTGTTTTTTCAGCAGAGGGATAGAGAAAAGAAAGGAAAAGAAACTTGAAAGATGCAAGCCTACCTGAAAGTCTCTGAGATCCCAGACATTGACCTTGCCATCATCTCCACCAGAGACGATGAATGGCTCTTGTCGGTTCCATGAAATGACATTAATATCGTTCTCATGAGCATTCTTCACGGAAAGCATCATCCCCTTCTGAGGAGGAGCCCTCACATCCCATATTCCAATCCTAACAAGCAATGATAATAGGTGGGATACATAATCACTTCAGATGGACATCAGTTCAACCAAATAAGTCAAGCCATGCCCAAGCCATTTTACTGCTATTGTCTTTGGGAAGACATGTGCCCTTAAGGGGAATCTGAAGACATATTCCATCTTCAAAAACAAAGTGCAATTAATATGAACATATAAAAAGGGGAGGGAAAAGTACAAATTTTAGGCAAGGAATTTGTATTGTCAGAAGGGGAGGGTAGACATAACTCAGGTTAATGAGCTATGTTTTGAGCAAATTGGGCAATCTGAGCAGTCATCAGTATAAATAGGGAACTCCTGTGCACATCAGGTAATTTTTTTTGGTAGACTTATTAATCTGGCTGAGGTAAGGAAATTCACAAGAAAACCATAGCTGCAGTGAGGAGTACAGCACCTTACATGGAAACCAAGATTGGTTCACTGTATGGATGTGTCCTTGCCACTGGACACAATAACGCTAGACCAATTGAGGCTGGTGGGCATTATCTAATGCCAACACCAATGCCATAATCCATACAGATTATTTGAGTGCAGCAGGTACAGAAATATTGGGTGATGCAAAGAAAAGCCTCATGTTTAATGCTTTATAAATCCAACTGGAAATTCAATGCTTGTAATTTTTATAGTGTCACATTGGAAATACTACAAACATTTGTTTCCTGGGAGTTACAAGTGTTTAGTTTATCTGGGCAAAAGCAACAGTCACTCAAAGTTCAGTCGTGAAAATGACCTGACTCCACCTCCTGCATGAAAACTTTTTTCATGCAGGAGGTGCAGGGAAAGGGTTTCTGCAGGGAAAGAGAGATGCTTATTGGAAAACAACAGAGTGCAAGGAAATTACCAGTCTCTGGAAGAAATAAACACTTACGTGCGATCCACAGAGCATGAGGCAAAGACCGTCTTCTCAGTGGGAGACCACTGAAGATCTTCAACAGAGGCAGTGTGACCAACAAAAGGCTTCTGATCAACACTCCACTTCCCACCTTCAGTAGGCTTCCAAAGGTGGATGTTTTTCACACAGTCACCAGTGACCAACCAACCAACATTGGTTGGGGACCAGTCCATTGCATAACCCTCTTGTAAATGACCTTTGAATGTGAAGAGTGGCTTGGGGCTTTCCTTCTTTCTCACATATGCAGTCATAGAATGGGGGTCCTCAACAGCCTGGAGGGGACGGGTCAGGTCCCAGATGTGGACTTTTGCAAGCTCTGACCAGGATGCTGCCAATACTTTCCCATCTGGGAGTTTGTGAGCCTAATCACAATGAAGACAATAATGAGACTTCAGCCACAGAAGCAATATATTTAAGCTTATCTATGACCTTTGCACAATTTTGTGTGTTTACCCTGACACGATTGATAGTGCCTTGATGAGCCACAAGAGCTGCCTCCAATTCTGGCTTGTCATCTTCATCTTCCTCATCAGAACTTGAGTCTGAATCCTCTGAGTCATCATTCTCCTTGTTGGCTTTCTTGTTACTGCGGAGGTTTGTCATCTAGTGACACCAGACATAGAAATTCACCATGAAATTCACTCATTCATGAGACAAGAAGAACTAGTGGATACCTTCATGACAATCAAATTATTGCCATGAGAACGAGCTGATTGGGTTCCTGCAACACAGTAACATGTTGCTGGGAAAGTCTCTCGTTTGTCACCCAGATGGTCTGGAATGATGTCAAAGCTCAGGCAGGGTGCACCTGGAGAATATATCAAAGACCAGGAGTAACCACAGAGGTAAGAGACTGAGACAGGTGAAAAAAAAAGAAGTTCGAGACCTGCATGGGCTTGTTGGAAGAGGACATAAGCAGACTCATCACATTCCAGCTCCTCCCCTTCACCAAGGGGCTCACCAGGAAGATATACTTTCTTTTCCTTCTTCTCTTCTCCACTTGCTCCAGCCTCTTCTCCACCTTCTTCTTCATCTATTCCTGATTCATCATCATCCTCATCATCTTCCTCCATCTCCTCATCCATATCCACATCATCTCCTCCTTTTGGTTCCCCTGAATCAGACATCTGTCAAGCAAGATGCACATACATGGACTCAGGACAATTCGTGAACTTGAAAGCAAGCAGAATGTAATACAATTTTTTGCCTCCTCTACATGAAAATGAGATGTTACTAGTCTCAGGTTGGTGTCATTTGAAAGCTCATTTTTAATTTATAATTTACTCTGTTTGTTTCAGATATTTCTAGGTGAGATATGATTAGCACAAATGATACAAAACAGCAAAGAGTGCATAGCTTACCATGAAGCACATAGCAATGGATCAAGTTTCATGTCCAAAAAAAGAAGCAGAGAAAGCTTGTCCACCCTATGAGATGGGTGGAAGAGTGGTAGAATGAGTATCAAGTCAATGGAACAAAACTATATGAATGAGTCAAATTTCTTAACGAGCCACTCTTCCTTTTTCTGAATATCCCATGGAAAGCAAAGAATGTAATCTTGTTCCTCACCCTTTGCTGTTCTGCATCATATATGCTATCCATTCCCCACTTCAAAACCAGAGGCAGGATTTAATTCCATTTGAGAGAATACCTCAAATAATATTACAAAAGACTGGTAACCTTCCAGTTTTGTTGGTATAAGGGAAGCAAATGACTACAATGCTCCTCTAAAACTTCATATTATATGGGAATCACAAGACTTGAGTGCGATCACAAGGTGACTTGTGATAGAGAGATTTGCAAGTGCATCATCTCTCCCTCTCACATGAATTTTCACAGTTAAAATTAAAATTCCATTTGGAGAATAATAAATATATTTCACCATTTCTTCAGAAATACATATTTGAGATGTAAATCACAAGGCACTTTGCTCAAGAAACTAAATGCTTGCCAGTATTCACATGAAGATCTATATACAAGTTGAAGACGAGGAATCCATTTCATTTACATTTCATTTTTCAATTTCACTTGACAAGTATGCATCTTGCTGAATTAGTTACATTTATCACATGGTGAGAGATCAATATAAGGTCCAGATTGGCATTTTAAAAGTGAAATGTCAATTTTTTTTAATACTTCATAATATTTAACACTTCAAAACTAATATTTCAAAAATGCTTATCAACCCACAGTATTTCTCAATCTTTCCCACATTCTCCTATAACTCATGAGTTTACATTGATGAGGCAAGTAATAAGTATAAATCAGTAGGCAGACCTAACCTGAAAATGAAAAATAATACTTGTTTTTTTCCTCTCTCAAGCCGATCTGATTTCTCTACAATTATTTGCCAAGTTCACCTGTTAGCAGACTTTCATTGTCTGCATGTCAGGCTAGATGGTAGTCTAACAATTTTTCACTTTGGAGGATAGTGATTCAATCTCTTTCTGATAGCCCTATGTTCACATCTGTATAGAGCAGGAAACTAAGCCATGAGAACTGAGCAAGTTGAAAATTATATACTTGTAAAAGAGACTTCTGCAGCATTTCTCCCAATATGGACCTTCATGATGGGACTCTAAATTCAAGTCACAGTGAGCAGTTCTCAGGTGAGGCAAGTAAAGATTAACCTACCATCAACCATCATCCTACACTAGGAAAGTACCAAGTCAACGCTTTGTCCATACTTGACAGAATGAAAGGAAACTAACCTCAGAGAAATGGCAGGAACTGGTTCATCAGTAAAAATTTCATTTAACAGGTGAGAACAATTTTCCCACCAATTCAATCATTCCCTGAAGCATTGTTTAGTCAGACAACTTGTGTCCATGTTCATACATTCCTTTGTATCACATTTCACCCTAGATATTGAATAGAATATTATCTCGAATTAAGACAACTGCCACAAAGGACAATATGGCATACTGACAAAGTACCACTGTTTCCCAAGTAGAAATTCTGGATAAAAGACAAAAAATCCAGTCCATTTAGAATTATCTCAACTGTGTTGCAAATTCACTGGGAACTACAGTGAAGGAACCATACCCTGAAAAATTATTGTCCAATCATTCCCAATCCATGAAAGTCATGAGTTAAATTCAAACAACTAATTCTGTTGTTGCAGATCTTGTGTGTAGAGACTGGCAGCAAAGACAATATCTCGCTTGATGGCTGCAGAAGATTCTTCCATTTTCTGGAAAAGTAGGGGATCCCCAACTATGCGTGCTGCACTTCGCACATCCCTCAGAACCTCTTCTAGCCGCTGGATCGCTCGAATGATCAAACCCTCCTGCAGAAGTGAAGTCAGGAAAAAAACTTTCATCCAATCACTGACCATACCTGGGCAGAAGGAAAACAAGAGATGTGCAGAAAAGGTAACCTGGACATCAGTCATGCGGGCGATCTCAGAAAAAGAGACTCCTTTGGCCCATTCAAAGACCACCAACACAAGGCCAAAGTTGAGTTGCTCCACAAAATCCAGGGGTGGATCTGGAAGTCCTGAGTCTCGCTGGATGTGTCCTATCTTCAATGCAACCTCCTTAAATCTCTCAACTCCTACCAGATCCAGGAAAAATAATTTTTTTTTTCTCATTTGGATTCATTATATAGTCATGGTCATGAGCATGGGCCTAAATATGACAGGAACCTTTTGCAAGGTTAGCTGGGAGGTCTGCTGTGTCAAGGGAATCGGTCTTTCGTCCCTGGAAGACGAGAGACGACAAGAGGGCAGTGATTTCTGCTGGTGGAAGGTCGGTGAGAACATTCTCAAAGATGAGTTCTGTGATCATGAGTTCATGAGTTCCCATCTCACAAGCGACACGACCTTTCAATTGCACTGTGAGATTGGGATCCACGTATCCAAGGGCTTGTAAGACTCGGAGCTTTCCCTCATATTCAGGAAGCGCAGAAAGAGCCTTTTCAGAGATCAGGTATCGATAGTGCTCCTCTTCTGCTTCTGCTGCTAGTCGTTCACACATCTACAAAGGAAGAAGGAATTATATCATGGATTCAAGGATGACTGAAACAAGAGGCTCAAGGACTTTTCCCCACAAGCTGAAGGTGTTCAGAAAAGTGCTGGCATGAGATGCAGGCATGTGACTGAAGGCCCTCTAAAGCCATCTGATAGGACTTCCACTTGTCACAGGCTTCCAACTCCTTCATTCCCAGGTCTTTCACAGGGTCCAGCCAATCAAAACCCTTCCCTGACCCAGCTGCAACACAAGCAACATAATACCAAGATACAAGGACTGCAGGTCCACCTAGTCTCAAGGAAGGGAGAGACAGACTTTTCAAAGCTAGGAGAAGGTTCTCAGCCTCAGAGGAGGAGTCAAGGCGACGGCGACGCCTCCAATCAGTCATGATGGCAGATGCATCCACCTTCAAGACTTTCTTCCCAAAGCGTACAATAGAGGTGGGAGGAAAGGATACCACAGTTGGGTGAGCAGATGTGAATTCAGGTAATTGAGGTTCTGCTGTTACAAGGCCAAGGAGGGATTTCCATTCCTCTTTCTTCCCCTAAATTGCACAAAAAATACAGATTTCAATGCCTTCGTTGAAATCCTATTGAGACATCTGAAGTTAAACTCACATCTGTGGAGTCATGTTGAACTTGTGAAGCATCAGGATCTTGAAGGATGAAAATGGAAAGAGAATCGGACTTTGAGCTTGGAGGCTCGAGGAGAACCCCAATCACATTCTGATGTTCCTTGTGACTGAGCCAGAGAACCCGACCACTCCCAAGCACTTTGCTTCCCTTCATTACCAAATAATAATTAAATATCCATTCTATGTCCCTCTTCAATGAAGGAAATGAGGGATAGATAAGCTAAATCACACATCTCAATACCTGAGCATATCTGAGAAGTGTTGGAGCCAGGGAGTCCCAGTTCTCCAGGAGATTATGACCTTTGTGGCAGAATGACTTCAAATCAGCTGCACAACATGGGCATGACTCAGGACGAAATGCTGCATTCCTACTTGACCAGGAATCTTGCAGCTCTCTTAGTTTATGCTGGTATTTTGTCATCTGGAATGAAGATGGGTGAATATGCAACTACACTGAAACTTGGTGAATGACATCACATTAAAAAGTGATCAAACTTAAACATTAGATTTACTTCTTTTAATCATTGAAACATTACTTATATGTTGTTCACTTGGAGTCATGGTGCTTTTGATGTTCCTGTTTCAATTTCTATGGAGTAACTTTCAAACCATCTAAGTTTTAGCTTGTTTGATGGATACTTCAGCTCATGAGATAACTTGATTCCAGGTGAGTGATCAAAATGAAAATGATTACTAATTATTAGAATTAATGTAAGCATCAATAGTGAATAATGCTCCAATCTGATTTTTCAGTGAGATTTTTCAAATATTTTTCAGCATAATATTCCTATTCACAATAGCTATTAACAATAATTGAAAGAAAACAAGAAAGATGAAGTCTTTTCTTCACTTCAATCACAAGGTGACAAGAGAAAGATACCTGTCTCTGCTGGCTAGCTTCACAGAAGGATCTTTTCATCATGTCCTCAACTCGCAGCTGTTCCACCCTCAGGAGATTCAAAATCATGCTAGACAACAGAATTAAAAATGCATCAGGGATCAGAGTGCTTTCACTTTATGCAGGAACTGGGATCTGATACTTCTTTTTCTGCCAACTCATTTCTTTTGTTTTTCATTCATCTCAGCTACAAGTCTAGCTACAAGTCTTGGTAATACACAGGCAGCTGAATCCTCACAGTCCAGATTATATATGCCCTGGCCTGTGGGTCAGATGGCTGTTGGCAGGAGCCATGAGTTTGCCTCAGACTAAGTCATGAGGTATGGCTTGACCCTTTTACCTGAATGGATGGATGGATTTTTCAAAATCCTTAGAAACTACTAGGCTTAGCACAACAAGGCAAAACAGAGTTTTCATAAATATTCCTTGGCTAACCCATAACCATAGCTAAACATCTTTTTTGATTGGGTTTGCCAGCATAAGTATGATCCAAAACTATAGAGAAGCAAAATCTGGTATGGAAGTAGTAATGGATCAAGACCTGAATATGAGCACATGGTAAAGAGGCAAGAAACATTGAAGCAAGTACAGGATGAGTCATCTAAAAGTATACCCACTAATCTCATAGTGGGTATAGCAGTAAAAGCATCTGTAATGCAAGCTGATCCTGACTTCATTCCAGAGTAGTCTTGTCCAAGCTAACCTTGACTGATTTCCTTCCTTCTCTCATGCTCCTTCTGCTGGAACTGTTTTCCAGGGGCATCTTCTCCAAACTGGGATCCTGTCAGGTATACTTTTAAATTACTCACCCTGAATTTTAAGCCCAAAGCAGGCTCTAGTGGTATAAGTAGCAGGATGGGCATGGATCAGGAATAATTCCTTGCCTCCTTTCACCTCTGACAAGACACATTCCCTCTTACCTCTGGCACACTGAAGACAGGAAGACTTATTTTACTCTGTGACTTATTTCTTTTCTTAGAACCATCACAGCTGATATATGTAAAATAAGAGAGCCTGATCACCTGGAGGGATGAAGGCACAAAGGAATTACTACCACAACATATTAGGACCTTTTCAGTCTCATGAGCATATCAAGCCAGTCCTCATTCTTCAAACACTAAACCTTTACTTGGGAAAACAGTCATTTAAAAAATCCTTAAAGAAACATTATTGTGCTGACATTCACCTGTAAGTGATGCGAAACTTGGATTGCAGAACAGTAGGCTTTCCCAACATCATTCGAACAAGATCAGAAGTCTCAGGGACTTCTCCTTTGCATAAGATGATGACTGTTCCTGTTGCATCCAGACCTCGTCGCCCAGCCCGGCCTGGGAAATAATTTCAGATTAACCACATGTTCAATGAATACTAAAAACTTTAAAGAAAGGCTTTTCCTATACACCTGCCATCTGGATGTACTCAGATGGATGAAGGTCTCTCCAAGATTGTCCATCATGTTTGCGGGTGGAGTCAAAGACCACAGTTCGAGCTGGCATGTTCACACCCATGGCAAATGTCTCAGTTGCAAATAGGAGCTTGACTAAGCCCTGTTGGAACAACATCTCAATAACTTCCTTCAAGAGAGGAAGGATTCCTGAATGATGAACTCCGATCCCTCTTTCCATCAGGCTGCTCATGTGAACTACCTAAAATAGTCATTAACAATAATCAGATCTCCAGCTTACACTTGCAACAGTGCACCAACCATATAAACACTGTCCCAAGGCAATGAATGTACATATAACATGTAATACTGACCTGTGGGAGTCGTTTGTCAGATCCCTTGAGTCGAGAAACACACTTCTGAATGAAGGAATGGATTTCGTGCTTCTCAGCAGCAGTGGTGAGATCAACTGAGGAGAGAAGCATAGCATTGGAATCGCATCGATTGCGGCTTAGTGTGAAGGCCACCACAGGTAGCTTGTCGTTCCGTTTCAAATGATCTAGCAGCCCAATCCACATATTCTTTTCCTGTTGAGGATTCATGCCTCCACCCCCATGAAATCCCTTCCTCTATGGACAACAGACAAAATTCATCTATGTGCATCCTTCTCAACACAGGCTATTGTGGGAGGAAGAGAAAATACACACAGGGCCTTTCCCAGTAGGCTGTTCCTTGGCTTGTTTCTTGGAAGCAACAGCAGCTGCATAGCCATTCTGTAAGAAGTTGCCACTGGCATCAACCAAGAGAAATCGATTGTCCTTCCCCTTCCCTCCAGACCCAGTATATGTGTAGAGGTAATGTTCCAGGGGGACTGGACGCTTCAGGGTTGAACTCACATACACCTTCCTCTTCTTGATACGACCCACCCAGTCTGTCTCCAATTAGAAGAAAAAAGGAATTCATCATCATTAGACCCTTCTCTCAATAAATATATATTTGGCAAGCATTGGGAGGAGTCCTATAGCTAAATTTTGTTTGATACAAATACAAAAAAAATTATTCAATAAAATTTCATGAAGAAGTAAAAGCAACAATGCTATAGAATATGTAACCCTTCTGTGGAGCTCACCAGCAAACTCTAGAATGTTGGGAACCGTGGCTGACAGCAGAACAATCCCAATATGGTCAGGGAGCATGATGAGGCTTTCCTCCCAAACAACACCCCTCTCTGCATCATTGATGTAATGCACTTCATCAAAAATCACCCACTCCACATCCCGGATGACATCCGAACCATTGTAGAGCATTGATCGGAGGATCTCGGTGGTCATAATGAGGCAGGAAGACTCGGGGCCAATCTGCACATCTCCTGACAAGAGTCCCACATCTCCAAATGTTGCCTTGAATTCTCTATACTTCTGATTGGAGAGGGCTTTGATTGGAGATGTATAGATCACCCGAGCCAAGTGACGCATTGATAGTGCAATTGCATATTCTGCAACAACAGTCTTCCCTAAAAGAGATATTAATCACCATGATGCATTTCTGGAGTCACATCATTATGAGTATAATTACCTTAAACTTAGCACACCATGGCATAAAAACCAACAGACCTGGTTTGACAGAATCAATTCAAGTAAAGCCAAGTAAGAGCTACACATTATGTCACCACTTTCATGTAGTGATATAATGCACAACCATATTGAATATGTGCCCAAGCTTTGGGGTCACTAGGATCATATAGTGTCTAGACTATGGGTCCATGGGCCACAAAGACTGAACACTTGGTGGGGATTCTGACTAAGGTCCTGCTGAGTTTGTATTGCATTAAGAATTCATTCTTGTTAAGTTTTAATCCATAAAGTAAACCAAAAAAAAAAAAGAAACAACTTACCAGCTGAAGTATGTGCTGCTACAAAAACACTGTCATGCCTTTCCAGACACAGAATTGCTTGCATCTGAAACATGTCCAGCTGAAATGGCCATGTTTGAGCTGGGTATGGGACCAGTTTATGAAAGTCTGTGATAGGTTTTGTAACATCTAGGATTTGAGCAAATTCTGTTGATCGTTTTGGGTCTGCTCCAAATGCAGATGTATCAGCAGAGGGAGCCTTGCTTATTTCTATCACAACTGTTGGCTCCTGGAAATGTGATTCCATCTCTGGCTGATGCATAATGAGAGCTTCTTCTAGAGCAATGTCTTCACCTTCCTTCCTTTGCTTCTCACTTGCCTTTTGAGGCTCTGATGCCCAGACTGATATGTCTTCCTCAAATTCCAGGATCTGCAATTAAAAAAAGACAGAGGCTCATGACCATTCTGTAAAAAAAAGAGAGAACTCTCTTGAAGGCAAGACAAGAGTCTCACCTTTCCAAAGTCAATCTCAGCTTCTCCTCTTCCTGACTTAGCTGACTTGTCTGTATTAGCTGCCACTTGCTCTGCATTAAGTGATTTCTCTTTGGCTTTAAAGTCTAAGCCATGGGAGAAACCAGGTGGGACTGTCTCCAGCTCACCATCAAGAGCTGCCACCTCAATCTAGGAGTAAAACCCAAAGATACAAGATGGGGATTGATATGCTGCACATTTTAAAAATGGTCATCATGCATGTACAAGGAGTCTGAATCGATAGCATATGTTGCCTCAAGCCTCCTTAGGTATCACTCATTTATTTATCTACATGCAACTAGAAATAATAATGTAGAAAGGACTAACAATATCTGCAGAACTTCAACAGCCCCTGTAGGCCAGCAACCTGTTCATTTTGTGGGAATTTTGAACCCAGCTCCTCAATACAATATTGTAAAAGTATATAATAAAATTTTAAAAGTTTGGTATCTAGACGTGGCTGAGAGATGTGGTTATTTTTTTGGAGTCATGGACCTCTTTGAATCTGAAAATTTCAGACAGACAGTCAACAATTTTTTAAAGAATATTTGCAATCATCCACTACAGGAAATGAATTATAACAGTATCTTTCTCATTGTGAGTCAGTCAGCCCCCACCAACCTTCAAAAATGTGTCTATTTCAGAAGAAATAGCTTTTGAAGTTGAGTTTTTTCAACCATACTTCATGACAGCAAGCATGTCTTGGTTGTCACTATTTCTAGCAGAGGAGAACTATGTCTGTCTCTGTATTACTCATCATGCACATAGTAGCTCCTAGTTAGTGTATGCTTTTTCTGCATTTGATTTGACTCCCACTCCCTTCATACCTTCATAACAACTTGTACACAATCTTATGCATGCAAGCAACTCCCAGTCAAGAGTAGCAGCACAACTTAGTACCAACAATTGCTATGTTGAATTTTCAACATGCTCCATGAATACACATCATTTATGTATAAATTTGTAAGGATGTTTCATCTATTACCAAAGAATGGTCACTTCGTCAAAAATTACAAATTAAAAATAAAAAGGCCAGACAAGGGCACAATGAAGGACTTTAAATACAAGGTAATGAGCATGCTAACTTTGGCAAGAGGAGGCAAGTCCAAACCGCCAGGCCAGAAAGGAAGATTGGATGGTGAGCCTTTGACCCCATCCTCTACCTTCCCAGGTGCTCTCCTCATAGACACCTTGGTAAATATAGAGCAATTACATATTCAATGTATGCATAAGGAACAGAATGGGAATGGATAACCTCAAATGGCAACTTACAGAATTCCTTGGACAGCCAACTTCATCAACTGGAACCTCAGTGAAGCCAATCACTTCTCCAGTGACCAAATCCTTTTCCACTGCCAATTCAAAGGGAGAAGGAGATGTCTGGATATTGAGTAGACTCTCTAGGTCAGGCTCCCAAGGCAGCAACTTCTGGCTTGCTTCCAACTGCCAAACAATCAACAAATACTCATGTTGCCATCAGTATAGCCATGACTGAAGCAACTGTAGCTTCAATTTTCAGGGGAAATAGAGCCTCTCCTCTCACTATGGCATCATAACAGTGGGAGAATCAGCTCTCCAACGAGAAGCAATCAATAAGATGAAACTAACCTTTTAAGCTTTCACAACAAAGACACCTAAAAAAAAAAAGGGAACCTTAATGTTACCATAAGTGACAATGCATCAACTTAGATTTCCATCTGATATCTGATAAACTGCTTGACACTATGAAGAGAGGCTTGCACCTCAAGGGATCAATTCATGCTTTTATGGATTAATCTGAAAGGAGAAGGTAACATGCATAGCCCTGGGTTGATGAACCCCCATTACCATATGTAATGGGGGTTCATGTAGAGTTGAAGGTGGTCCATGATTACACTTAAGTAAAAAGGCTTATCACAGTTTTGCAGAGAGGAAAAAGGTAATGAGAACACATGAATGTCATAAGGTGAAGTCAGATTTTTCAATCTTATTGGAATGGAAAATTACTAGGTGCACAGGACAATGTAAGTATGGGAAATCGTTAACTCATCTCAAGCTGATCCTAATGGTACTTACATGAACACAATTCGTTAATTTTGTCTTAAGCCTAGCCAGGTTGAGTGAATTCCTTGGATAAAAGCATTACTCAAGTATGGCCAATGCCCAAGTCTTCAGCATCAGCATTTCAGCAGTAGACTGGATTCCCTTCTTAGCATATTAGTCTGACATGCTTCCCCTCTCCCTGCACCTTCCCCACCCTTCCAGTGTTGTTTCTACTTAAAAAATCCCTGGCTCCCAAGGGATTTTCCTTCATCACGTACCTCACGTCCAAATATGGCTCCTTTTACAGCTACCATCCTCAATCCCTGCTTTCCATATGTGCCTACTTCATGGATTTTCTGTAACTAACTCACAAGAAAAAAAAAAAGAGTAAAATGTTCACATTTACTTATTAAAAAATTCACCATACTCCCATAGATCAGTTCATCATTTCAATAGGTCTACAAGGAACTGAAATACAGCAATTTGTACAAATAAGACTACATTAATAAAAGAAAACTTTAATGAAACAACTCTTAAACCACCATACAAATATTTTTCAAGCTACTGATCCTGGAGAACAAGAAAATACAACTAAATACCAAGAAATAATTACCAAAAATCTGAAATCAACCCATCTTGAGCAAAAATGTAGAGAATGAAATTGGGAATGAACTTCATCCTGTTGATGCACATGTTCTCCTTTAAAGTATTCAATGCACAGGCAAACCTGGCATTCTGATTATAAGTGTTCTCTGTACAAGGCAATAAGTTGTACAAAGGAGGCTCTTGAGTACAAAAATCTGATCACATTCTGCTATACTTCTGACATCCCTCTAGTACATATGTTACTTTGGAATATTCTTTGGCATGAGGCCTACATTATAAGCCTTTATAAGTTTTATGTCCTACGGACAAGAATAGAAATAAATGGCACTGTCAGGAATTTGGATATGTTGGTATATTGAGCAGCTTGACAGGCAAGCTGAAGTCTGAACAGTTGACACAAAGATAGAGTAGCAGGACTGATTGGTCGATAAAGTGACAGGAGAGGTAATACCTTCAGAGTGCAATTCTACACCATAGATACCCATCAAGCTATAAACAAAATATCAAATGACTCAGCAACAAACATGATTTAAAATCAAAACTTTAACTTGCTCATAGCTGTGTGGGCAGCATCAAAGTTTTCGTTAGCTTATACTTCAGTCATGCAATATATTACTTCCACTTCCTGCCTGCAGGGACACAGGAAACAAAGAATGCAATGCTAAGGGTCAGGGATTGCAATCCAAAAATGTAGTATGCCTATGCCTGACAGATATGATTGAAGAGAGAGGGGGAGCAAATTATTACATCAAAACTTGTCCTAAAAATGTCCAAAAGGAATTGTATTAACAGGAAGTGCTAGGCTTTCAGTCTAACTTATACTTTCATAGGTGGAAGATATCAATAGCCAAGCAAAAGGACAGTTGGATGAGAGAAGCCTGCAAGAACTGGTGCGTTGTTATGGTTCAACAAAGCTATGTTTGTTAGAGGCCAACATAAGTAACAAAAAAAAATGAATTCCATTGGTCTGCGACCAAAGTAGGCCTAGTTCATTTCATCTGTAACTTCGATAAAGAATTACGGAAAACTCACTTGAAAAATGGGAAGGTTCTCAGGAGAAGAAAGATATCTCTCCAGAAGTTCCTGCATTTCTTCAATGACAGGAGGCAATCCGTAAGGAAGTAAGTCATTGTGACTCTGAATGATACTGTCGCCGGCTCGAGCCATCGCTCGAATTGCACCGTGAGGTCTAAAATCTGATCTTAGGGCATAGACAAAGGACTATGATCACGACTGGCAAAAATAAGCCCTATTTGTGGCAAATCCTGGCGGATGAACTGAGCTAAAAAAACAACACGTGAGCGAAGTCGGTGACGTGATCTTTCCTGGTGCCTCTCCAGTAAGGGAGGCCATGTGCTACGCAGTGTTGTCGCACATCGACGTGCTCGATCCTTCTTGCTCGATCTCCTTGCCCTCGAAACATTTTCAGAATAGAACATATGGGTATTTAATATGAGCCCTGTTATTCTCCTGAATAAAAAATTCGTAAATTTGGCTAATTCTGAAGGATGGATGACGTAGTTAGAAGCCGGTGAGGCTACTACAGGGTGTTCGTGAAGTCATATGACTTCACGAACACCCGTGTGATATGTCGAACGTCGTGTGATATGTCGTGATGATATGTCAGAACGTTGAAAGTTTGCAGAAACGTTGATGAAATCTTTCTCTTCATATTGAACGTAGTATTGAGCATATCGTGAACCCAATTCTGAAAATGTTCGACATTCCATATTGTCTGCCATAATTCAAGAAGTTAGTGACCTAACTATATGAACACCCTGTACTTGAACTGGGGAGGGGTGAGAAACCCTAACCCCTTCCCAAGATCTTTCTATGAATGAACCCTGGTGAAGGCTGAGCGCGACTTCCCTTATAACAGGAGTAACCATGGGGGCTAACCTCAGTCTCCCTATGGCAGGGGTCTGGAGATTGCCGATGAGGTTTTAGGCTTCGCTTGAGGTTATAGCTGTGGAGATTTCCACATGAGGGCAAATTCATGGATCCGCATTCTATTCTATTCATCCAATATTCATATCTGTAGCCATTACATTGATGATCTACTCCGAATTGAAAATGAATTGCATGTCCTTGGAAGTCCTTCTAGTCCGTGAAATGCTGTCGTCTTTACAATTATTACGTGGGATGAAATTGCATTCACCGATTGGAGGATGGAGTTGATATATTCACAGTCGGAGCCGGATTCCGATTAAGCCTCGCAATTCAATTCAGACCCAATCAACATTCGTATTGAGGTCCTAAGAGTGCCAGTCATCGCTTATTCTTAGGCTCATCCAAGGACACGGGCCGAGAAGCGGGGAAAGGCATTTTTTTTTAATTTATCAAGGATGCTGCAGGACTTTGAAATGGAAATGAAGGGGGTTATTTTTTCCAGCCCACCAGCTTTCAATGGAAGAGGCTACATCACGAAGCAATGAGAGTGAGTTTCGATGAGCAAGGAGCTATTCAGGTATGCTTTCGTCTTTTGAATGATTCAAGGACAGCGGGTCTGAGACCCTTTGGGCTCCCTGCGTTTACGGACAGAAGTCTGGGAACAGGAAATAAGGACGGAATTGGTTTCATAATTCTTTATTTGTTGATTGCTTGAATGCAAGAATGGGCCAAATTCCTCTTGTGCTTTCCAGGTGAGTCGTACAAAGCTGGATCCACGAGTTTCGAGTCGATCTCTTCGACTCCGATGCTCCTTGCGACTCGTACGTTCTCATGCAGCCAGGGCCGACCTGAAGCATGTCACATGTGCCCCCCCCCCCCCCCACAGGGCGCAAATTCACCAGGGGCGCCAATAGCGTGCCAGAATGAATGAAGCAATAATGGATGCCACCCTCAGTTTTACTACGGAAACTGGGAATGCCTTCCGGTTCGGCGTCTTTTTGGACGAGGATTGATCCTTCTCTCTTTTTGGGGAGGGGTGGGGGCAACGTTGAGAGTCTCTTTGCACAGGGCGTCGAAATATTAAAGGCCGGTCCTGCGTGCAGCGTTTCCTTCGAAAAGATAAAAAAAAAGCAGGAGGAAAAAGCGTGTACAATTATAATCCGTCCCCTCTGTGTTCGATTAGCACGATCGGGAATCGAAGAAGACAGCGTTGGTCCCTGAGATGTTCGTATAATTCGTATAGCGTTTGCAGCGAGGCATTCGATCACTGAATCCCTCGCGGCAAAATGAACCGCCCACGGAAGAGTCGATCAGAACTTGAACTTGGGATCTGCGGAAGCGGCCGGTGGGACTTCCTGCACTTTCGGCAGGTCGTTGGAGTTGATGGCCGGGGTCGTTGCGTATCTCCGGAGTCCCCGATTCCTCAGCCGATCCAACGCCGAAAACTTCCGACTCTCCCCTGAAAATAAAAAAATTAATAATAATAATTAATAATAAAAAAATACTGGAAATCTGCGACGCAAATAAAAAAAAAAAAAAACAAAACAAAAACACGAAATATCGAACCGGCATGGGCAGCAACCGCAGCAGGAGGCGTCTGTGGAGAAGCCTGACAGAGGACAGCGTCTTGGAGATCCATGGGAAGCGAAGAGATGATTCTCGCCCGGAATTGAGTCCACACGCTCGGCACGTACCTCATCTGTCCACCACATTTTTCTGCATTTAAAACTCGGGGGGGATCCACACTTTAGGGGCTTTTGAGTTTCCAGCTTCCGAGAATGCATTGCGGAATTGCAGGTGTTCTTAAGAGTGAGTTTTATATCGTTATGATTATATGTTTACCATATTGTAAATATTTCATTATACAGGGTGGTCCAGGTCAAGTGTAACAAAACTTCGGAGTCCCCTCCTGCACCAAATATTTGACTCGTATAGTTCAAATGTTATTCTTTGGAATCGTGCGTTTCTGCTGTTTAATCTAGTTCTAAATATGACTCTTTATTTTGAAAACAAACGGAGAAAATGGCGTTGGAAGTCAGGCGGTCGTAGAACTACATGAACAGGGCCTGAAAAGACTGGAAATTGAAAAGGCCGGCAAGAAGTAAAACTTGAGCCGAGCCTTCATCAAAAGGACAATGGATCGACACCTTGCGACAGGCTCCACCGCCAAACGATCAGGAGGCAGCAGGAAAATGACGAGAACAAAGAAATCGGTCAACCGACTCGAGCGCCGGATTTGGCATAATCCCAACAGGTCCATCAGGAAGATGGCGAAGGAGATGAAAGTCTCGAAGTCGACGATGATGAGAGTGGTTAAGAACAATTTAGAGTTCATCTCCTTCCTGCTCCTGAAGCGACAGCTCCTCGGTGCAGCCACCAAGAGACCGTCCCGAAGTCGTCAGATGCTGGAGAATGGTTCGGCCCCCAACATTGTCTTCTCGGACGAGAAGTTATTCACCGTGAAGGCAGTGCACAGTAAGCAAAATGATCAGGTTTTGGCACGAAGTCCCGGAAGCCGGCCTCGGTTATGGTTAGGGTCGTCGTCACCAGCAGAGGCAAGTCCCCCTCGTTTTATTCTCGAGGGCATCAAAATAAACTAGGACGTCAACATAAAATCCATCCTGCAAGACGCCTGACTCCCCTTGGCTCAAGATATGTTCGGGGACGAGCCATGGACATTCCAGCAGGACGGAGCAACGTCTCATACGGCTAATGCGACCCAGGACTGGCGTCGAAAGAATTTTCCAAGGTTATCGACCGAGGAGGAGTGGCCCTCGTCGCCTCCGGATCTGAACCCTCTCGACAACGCCATGTGGTTTAAGGCCTGTTCCAAGCCCCACCACATTCTGGATCATCTCGGGCAAGATTTGGTTTGCATTTGGGACGAAATTCCAATGAGAGTGGTGAGGAACAGCGTCAACAACTTCGAGAAAAGGTTGAAGGCTATATTCAAGGCCAAAGGTGGCCAATTTGAGTGAAAATTACGTCATGTCTGAACCATTATGTGAGAGACATGCTGTGCAAATTTCAAGTCGATCAAAAGTGCTATTTTAAAGAAAATTACAGTTCGGTTCGTTACACTTTACCTGGACAACCTTGCATTATACGATATTACATCAGAACGGAAAAGAAGATGGAAGGACCTGTGGTGCTTCACCGGCCGCAGCATCCACCATATCGTTGATGACCTCAGGGATTTTCGACTCCGGCTTCGCCCTCCCCATCTGCTTCGACAGGGAACTCTGCAAGAGAAGGCGGAAATGAAGAAAATTCGGAGGACGTTCCCGAGCCCGGTGCCGTCCGTACCTGAAAGTCCAGGAAGTACTGCTTTCCGTAGGAATCCTGGATCTCCTTCGGACACGCCTCCCAGAGTTTGTCCAAGCTCTCCTTCATCCCCTTCTCCGCCGCCAACGGCGTCCTGCACACACCACGGACCCCATGACCCCTCCGCCTCTCAACCCCCCGAACCCCCACCGACCCACTTGTAAATGGTCGGCTCGATCGTGTGGACCGAGACGTTCCACTTCTTCATCTCCCGGCGCAGGCAGTCCGCGAAGGAGACGAGGGCGCTCTTCGACATGGAATAGGCCGAGGAACCGGGGAACGTGTAGCGACCTGGAAGGCGACAATATTCCCTCTTCGAAATATGCAGAAGGTGAGATTTTCAAGGCGAAAAAATGGGAAATTTCAACTGTAGAAGTGAGGCATACCCAAGGTCTGAATATCGCAAAATGATCGCCAAAAATGAAAAGAACTCTCGCAAAAAAATATAAATAAATTGGCTGGAAAATCTGAAATGTGGTGAAACTTCGTTCTACTTAAAACATAAATGAGCACATTTAGCAAATATTTATTTGAGGAAGTAACGGTTGAAATGAGAGCATAATACTCTAAGGAGTCATTTCCTCCATGTATGACATAATCTGCAGATTAAGATGATAATCGGCCGGTTTGATGAAGTGATGCGGAGGAGTCGCTTATGGCAATCCTCGCATCTCGCAACATTCCTTATTTTAATATCCATGTGCATTTAATTATGAATTATCCGATTTAAGGATCCCCGAGGACAAGCTCCAACTTTTATGATTGCAGTCGCAATTAGAAGACTCTCGGACGCCAGTGGCCACATCCGCGCCGGCCACATCCGTGCCGGCCACATCTCGAATTCATAGAGAATAAATCCGTTACGACTGATTGACGTCAAGCAAGCCAAACACTGCGAGTCCGTTCTGAATAATTTCTGACTCATCGCGAGGATTCAGAAGCATTCCCCGCATGCAAGAGTCGAGTCGAGCGTTCACTCTATTTTCCCTTCAGTGGAAGGCTAGGCTCCTTCTTCGGTTTCCTCTTGGTTTCGATGAGTAACCATTTCCCCCATTTAACGATGATCGAGGCCCGCAGACCCCTCGAGCCCCTGAGGACGATTAAAATGAGAAATTCTCTTACGGGCGGGCCACAACGACGAGCTTCCTGCTAAGAATTTCCGAGAAAATGAAAATAAAAAAAGCGCATCCCTGCCTCGAGCATCACTGCCTCGAGCATCCCTGCCTCGAGCATCACTGCCTCGAGCATCCCTGCCTCGAGCATCACTGCCTCGAGCATCCCTGCCTACTCCTCGCGAAGATGAATGACACTGACGGCACGTCGTCAGTCTTTCCACGAGGAGCACACGACCTCCGGCGCTTCCCACCTGCGGTTTCTGCTCATCTTTCATCCTTAAGTATAATAGAGATGCGGGCTTTCCCAAGTGACGAGCGTGCGTGTGCGAACCCTTCTGCCCGAGGAGGAGGATGGGGTGGGATTAAACACGCTCTCGTTGCCAAAAAAACCTCTTCAGGAGTGGGTCGAACGCGGAATTTCATCGAAGCGGGGGAAGGGGGAAGAAATATGAAACGATCAGCCACATTCCCCATATTGCGCGGGTAGAAGGTTCAATGGTCAAGGTTCAAAGGTCAAGGTTCAAGGTTCGGGCGGGGACTCCAACTGGCACCCACATTGCGAGCGAAGGTCACGCCATGCGAGCCATGCGAGACGGCCAAGACGGATAGAAGATAATGATAGACATTACTCCGCGGGTGCAAAACTGTGCCCGCTTTCCCTTGGGCACAGGTGACCACAGGCGACCACCCGAGTCTCGATCGAGGCTCACGCGACCGCGCTTAACATCATCGACTCGCTTAAAGTCTTAATTAAACGCTAAACGTCTTTCGTATCGGAGTCCTCCCACCTTTTTCACCGCCTTCCTCTCGACCTCAACTCTCGAATCCCTTTTATTTTCACGCCTCCAAATTTAAACAAAATGCTCCTAATGCAAATTGCTCTTAAAGGGAGTCTGATGAATCGAACTCGTCGGTGACAACGTGGATTGCGTCTAAAATCTCGTAACAATGTCAATAACTATTTTTTTTTTACCTGCTTTTCTACATTATTTTCGAATGGAAAAATTCTCTCACCCGAATTGCAAATGAACCATAATTTCAATATTTTGTAAATCGGTTGTTACCATCGATAGCCTTCCCCCTGTCCCTACCCTACCCTACCCTTCCCCCTGTCCCAAGATAAGAGCTCCATCAATTAATTTATTGAAGAAACATGCGTAAATGAATCATGAGCTACTTGGAATGGACGTTCCTACCCTTGCCCTCCCTTGCCCCCTTGCCCCCTTGTCCCCTCTTGTCCCCTCTTGCCCCCCCTTGTCCCCTCTTGCCCCCCCTTGTCCCCTCTTGTCCCCCTTGCTCGAGAACTTATGAAGTACTTAAACTTCTCCGCCCGTTCCAGTGGTTTCATCCGCGCGACGGCCAGCTTCGAGAACTTTCCGAAGCTGGCCATCGCTCGTCGAACTAGAATCCGCCGTCGGTAGCTTTGAGAGGATGCCGACTGCCTCACCAACGGTTTGCCAAAAAAAACCTCGATAGCAGCGCGATTGTCGCGTTCCGAGTCCGACCTGCCGGCC